TTTTTGGTCTGATGTCTTGATTTTTGGTGCGATGTCTTGATTTTTGCGTATAGTCGTCGCCGACGATATTGTGTAACATCGGATCGTAGGGGTAACGCCTCATGTATGTATATATATATATATATGTATACAGATACACATTACAGTGCTTGCATATATATATATATATATAAAATGTATATATTTATAGATATATGTGTATATATAGGAAATATAGGTCAACATTGGTAATATAATTGTATGTCGTCGAATATCCCCGCGTTGCCAACGTCGATTGCCGCCGCCTGGCGCCACCGACTCATTGGTTCCCGCGTTCTGCGCTGCCCGCTGTCGTCGCCGATGGCCGCCGTGCTACCGACGTTGACTGCTGCCTGCTCTGCGCTCTGCATATAAATGCATGTATAAGTACGTGTGCATATATATATATATATATATATATATATATACACAATATACACTATACAATATACAATATACAATATACAATATATATGTTATATATATATATATACTGTATACACATATATATATAATAAATTCATATATACATATATACATACATCTATATATAGCGCTTGCTGCGTGCCTCGCGCGCAAATTGTTTGGCCCAGGGCGCCTCCTGGGCCCCCCTCCCTCCCCGCGTTCGCTCCCTCCACCCCGAGATCTCCCTCCACCTCGAGATATCTCCCTCCACCTCGAGATCTCGCCTCCTCGATCTCACTCCCCGTTTTCGCTCGATCCCTCGCTCCCTCCCTCGCCATGGCCGCCGCCATGGCGCGGCACGGCCGCGCGGCCAGGGTCGACGCCGAGGTCGCGTCGCAGGCGCTGCCAGGGGAGGGGTCCGGGCAGGGAGGAGATGAGAGGGTCAAAATGACGATAAGGAGAGGATCGAGGGGGAGTGCGCAGGGGAAGAAGATCCTCGAGCCCCCTCCCTCCTCCATCGCCCTCCGCCCTCCTCCCTCCTCCTCCCTCCTCCTCCCTCCCCTCCCTCCTCCTACCTCCTCCTCCCTCCTCCTCCCTCCCCCCTCCTCCTCCCCGCTGCCTCGTCCTCCTCCCCCCGCCTCTCCCGCCCCAGGTGCTCTTGATGCCCATGATCGAGGCGCCTCGGCTGCTAGGCGCGGCGACGCCCTGGAGCCGCGGAGGAGGAGGAGGAGGAGGAGGAGGAGGAGGAGGAGGGGGGGAATAAGGAGGAGGAGGCGGAGGAGGAGAAGGAGGGGAAGGAGGAGGTGGAGGGTTTAATTAGGAGCGGCCCTCCTCTTTCTCATCCTCGTCGTCGCCAGCATCTTCATGTCTCATCCTCGTCGTCGGTTTCATCGTTCTCATCCTCTTCGTAGTCGTCTTCCTTTCTCATCCTCGTCGTTGTCCTCATCGTTCTTGATCTCGTCGTCGTCGTCGCTCGAGCCGTCCACGCCTGGCGCTTGATCTACGTGGATCCGCCGCCTCATCCTCTTCCTGCTCTGGTGCCTCCTGCTGCTGCTGCTGCCGCTGCTGGTGATGGCGCCCTCATCTTTCATTCTCGTCGTCGTCGTCTTCTTTTATCGTCCTCAATCGTCGTCCTCATCGTGATCGTCGTCGTTGTCTTTCTCATCCTCGTAGTCGTCCTCTATCGTTCTCATCTTCGTCGTCGTCGTTCTCGTCCCCTCACCTCGTTCTCATCCTCATCATTGCCGCACTTTGCCCTCTTCGTCATTCGCCGCCCGATGAGGCGACATCCCAGATTTCAAGTACAGCTGCAGCGACTTCGGATCCAGACCCAAGGTCAAGGAGATCCAGGCCGCCCTCGAGCCCTGGGAGAAGGGGGGGATCCCTGGGGCGAGGAGGATCTCGAGGAGGAGGGAGGGAGGAGGGCAAGAGGCGGGAGAATCGAAATAGGGACGCCAAGGGGGGAAGGAGAGAGGGTGGTCGGGGAAGGAGGGGAGGGCGCGCGGAGTCGAGGGAACGTGGATCGACTGTAACTGTGATGATGATGATGGATGATGATGATGATGATGACGATGATGATGATGATGACGTCGGCGACGACGACAACGCTGATGATAATGACGATGGTGATGATGATGATGATGCCCGTCTGCGTTGCGCGAGGCCTTGGGAAACGAGCTCGAGGTTATTTCTAAGGACATGTCCCCGCCTTCCGTGAAAACAATGATGGTGTTGATGATGATGCTGATGATGAGGGTGATGATGCTGATGATGGCGACGATGAGGGTGATGCTGATAGCGGTCATGATGATGGTGATGATGATGATGGTGATACTGGTGATGATGCTGCTGATGGCGGTGATGCTGGTGATGACAATGGTGAGGATGACGATGATGATATTGATGATGCTGATGATGATGGTGATGATGCTGACCGTGATGTTACTGCTGGTGATGATGATGATACTGCTGGTGATGATGATAGTGATGATGCTGATGATGATACTGCTGGTGATGATGATCCTGGCCGTGATGGAGATCATATCATGATGATGCGGAGTGTGATGGCGACGATGGT